TAGTCATTGTAGGAGTGGTGAGTAAATATAAGAGAAGCCTTTGGATTAGCTGACTTCTCTTTGCTGCTCCATATGCCAAGTAAAGGCAGAACGTCCTGCTTGTTTCTGGGATGTTCCTTCCCCAGGGAGGCTGTATCAGGAGGAGCAGCTGCCAGTTTTAAGGATTGTTGTGCTCCCAGATGCCAATGTACAGCTCTTCTTTTATGTGCTGGTTGTGGCTGCCAGCCTCCTCTGGGCTGGTGGAGTTAAAAACGTTGCAAGACCGAGGGGAAAACGATCAAGCAAATATTTTTGGGGGGATTTCTTCTAAATTTATTGGTTTTCTAGGCTTTTGGTGTTTCACAAATCAGCAGTGAAGCACATGGAAGCTGTCTACAGGGGATAAACTTAGGGACAAGCTTAATCTTCTTTCCAGAGTAAAAAATTACCAGGCTGAAAAGGGATCTCACCTGTCATTCTTCTCTGGACTAATTTTTGGCTCTTCATCTGATTTCAGTCAAATTTGATGAAGGCAGAGATGTTAAGCATACCAGGGCTCCAGGACTCATGGGGATGAGTAGCTTGGTAGAGCAAATCCACCCTCCCATGATCTGACAGAGGAGACAAGGAGGGGTGCCAGGTCCTGGTCCCAGCCCTGTGGACAGGAGATGTGGAAGGAACAACCCAGGAGAGTGGGAGAGGAGCTCTGAGGTAGGAAGGGGAGGGATATACATGAATTAAGTCCTCCACATAAATAGGTAAACCAAGATTCATGCATTTGCACAACTGCAGTGAGAGTGTTTTGGTTTTTTCTTGGTTTATTTTTTCCTCCAGAATTTAACAGCATTGAGGCAAACATCCAGATGACTTTATCAAGCACCTGTAATAACACTCCCTATATGTTTGTTTTGACTTAAGGGTTTTGTTTTGCCTCTTAACCCAGCTGAAATCGTGTGTTAATTCCTTACACAAAGCCTCAGCTGTGCCCTGTGAGCACGTCGCTTCCAGCATCAGCCACTGCATCAACCTCCTACTGGCATTTTTTAATTAAAAGAACAGCACTATCACTTCAAATTAGTGCCACATAGCTTATTGGAGTAAGGAGTGAAATGGTGTTTAAAGGTTTTTCTCTCGTGAAAATTTTTTATTAAAATTCGCTCTCTTTAGGTTTTATCTAGAGTTTGTCATTCAGTGCTTGGACAATATCTGATTCTGAGGTGTGCTCTTAGTGATATGAATGCAAACAAAAGGCTGACTTTTAATATCTTGACTGTTTGATAAACAAGAATCCCCTTCTTAATAAAAACAAAACAACAGACAAACATTATATTATTTTATGCTGCCCACAAAGCCGCATCAGCCTGTTTTTCAAGTGCATTCCCTGTGTGGAGAAAGTAGTGGAGAAATAGATATTTCTGGGAGCTTCTGTGCCATGAACTGTGAAGAGCTGGTTTTTGTAATCCTGTTCAGTGAAATTGTTAGGCCTCCGTTATACTAAATTACTGTGAGAGCGAGGAATATATCCAGGGGGAGGTAGCCCTAGTGAGAATTTTCCTCATACAGCATTTCATTTTATCTGGAATATTAGCACTGTTAACCATCCATGCGAAATGCAGTGTATTGAATCTGTTTAATCAATTTAAAGTGGAAAGCAAACGTCTTAGGCTTTGACTGAACCAGCTGTCCTCATGTATTGGTTTTTTTAGATGTTAAATTTGGGACTTTGGATGTGTTAATATAGTAGTTTGATAAATAACTTTTTGTTTAAGAGAACTTTCTTCGTATTTTTTGTTGCAGGGTCCTGCAGCCAAGTGGTCAGTCACTTGCATAAAGTCCTGTGTCTGAATATGAAACACAGACATTAAGGTTGTATTGGAAGAGGCATTGTATCTTTTCCTTCAAGCTCCAGTTTATTTATGTAATACCTTTGATCGAGGCATCTCGGAGCCGTAGTGGGATTAGAATTTATTGATGTGATGGAGACTGACATTTTGTACAAGGAAAACAGCAAACAGGTGCTGTTGCAGGCAGAGTGATGAATGTATAATGTTGAGAAAATTGTGACCAAACACCCTGGTCAGAATAATGCACTACAGCGTTTTCACCAAGATCCCAGCCTTTGTGACTGTGGATTCACTTGGGATTGGAAAGGGAGTTTCCATTAGTGAGTAGCTTGTTAATAAAAATTGCCCAGGGGAGGAAGGTCCACACATTGTTGTTGAGCCACTGTTGAGAGACTGACTTTGCAGTGAAAATGTTTATTCTTTAAAAAAGAAAAATCTGTGCTAGAATGCTACAGGCATGCTCTACTTATCTGTTATCATTCTAAACTCTATTTTTATTTTGCTCTCTGCAGCCAGTCTGTAACTAAAACATTCCTAGCATCTTTTGGCTGGAGATTCAGTCAAGGACATTTTCATCCTGCTTTCAAGATGATGATTCCAGCCTTTCTTGAAGCTTCTCCAAAGGAAATTTCCTTCTGTAGTGGATATGGTGACAGTGAGGGAAATCACTGCTTATGGTCCAAAGGCTTAGTGACATCCCCTTGTTGTTGTCATGTCCTACTAGGCTTAATCTGAAAACAAATGGAAGTATTTTAGCATAGCCTGATGGCACAGAAGAAGAGTTGGAGTCACCCTGGATCTGTGATGTTAGTTCTGCTTGAGCTCACTCACCTCACGAGGTGGCTGTGAGCAGAATAATGTGGATAAATGTTTAGTGGGCACAAAGGACAGGGGCTGTGTCCGTGTCCATAGGGACAGACCTCCCTCCCCACCTTCCGACTCCACTGAAGGGGATTTGCTGTCGTGGACTGGATTTTCTTCCTCAGCCATAGATTGGCCCCGACCAGTGTGTTTGTTTTGTTGTTCAGCCCTGGTGACTGTCAGTAGCACTGGGCTGAATAAACAGAGACTATTGATCAAATTTGAAGTCATTAACTTGGCAGTTTAAATAGATGCTGGCCTATATGATTAGAACAAGGGAGTAACACATAGGCTGATACAGCTTTATTTGGAATAAAAGCCTTCTTTTCATGGAATCTTGTTTGGTGCCATTCAGCCCTCAGTTTTGTGCCTCCCTTAGGTCACGCAAGAATGAGACGTTTTGCTTAAAATACCTGAAGGGGATGGCTTTGCTTGTGTAAGAGAGAGATAACATGGGTGTAATATGGATCTGCTGAACTTTGATACTAATTGCAAGTCCTGTTTGGAAGAAGGGGGTGCTACCCTGAGGTTATTGGTTAACCACATCCAGCTAGGACATGTTCTGGGAGGAATCCCACTCCATCTCCAGGCTGGCAGTGTTACTCCCAGCTCCAAAGCAGCAGCAGTTTTGGATTGTCCATCTCGCTGCTGCAGAGAGGAACACAGGGCTGTTAAATCTGGGTGTTTACACCCAAACACAACGGGTGATTGATGACTTCTGAAGGAAGATGTTTCCTTTTGGTGGTGGCTGCTGTCGTGCCCCGTGCCCGACACCCTTCTCTATCGTAAGGCTGTGGATGGAGCGTGGCCGGGGGACACGTGGCACGTTCTGCTGTGTGAGCTCCGGGCTGCTCCCAGATCCGCTCCAGAGGTCGGGCAGCACTGTGGGAAGGGCCCGGCACGGAGCAGTGATGATCCCACTGCTGGGGCTGCTCCTGAGTCACGGTGCTGCGTGTCCCTCGAGAGCCTGCACATTCAGCACCGGGACACACACGGATTGACCCACATTCCCTCGGGCACAGCGGCCGTCACGTGCACCCCACTGCCAGGAAATCAGACGGGAGCTGATGTCACTTGGTTCACCCTGGCAGTTTGCAGGGCCCCAGCCAAAGTGCTTTTAGGGATTTACCACTTGGGTGACTAATAGGTGATTAGGTGGATTGGAGGGAGTCTGTCTACGTGCTTCTTGAAGACAGGGCTTACCCTGTAACAATGGCAGCACCAAAAAAGTCTCTTATGCATCATTCTCTTATTGTTGCTTTTCAATGGGACTGGTTATTAAATCAGACTTTTTTCCTCTACATAAAAGCTTTCTTACTAATTCTTTGGAAAGTTTGTTACATAGGGATGTTTTTCCTGCAACAGATGGACAAACATCCTATAGAAGAAAACAGTGATTCTCTGCTGGTGTTAACAAAAGAACAAAAGGAGGTGAATGAATTGTAAAAGTTTGGCTTCCCAAAGCTATTAATATCTCTGTAATTGTAGTCTCTTTTTTGAACAAGCCTCGTTTCTGTCCCATTCTCCTTCCCCTCTGCCACAGCTTCCTTATTCCCACACCTCCACTGGCAGCCCCCCCTTCCCCGGTTCCACCTCTGTCCCCTCCCGCTCCCCCCCCCGGTGAGTTCAGCAGGGCTGGCACAGGGCCCGGGCTGATAAAGCCCAGACGAGCTGATTCCCTGGCTGCTGTCCAGGTGGCTGCTCACCTTTTACCGTCTGTGCCCTTCACAAACACGGGCGTGTTTGGGGCTCCCTCGGTTTTTTTCATTTGTCAACAAGGAGGGTTTGAGCCGAGTTCTCTGAACAAAAAAAGAAAGACTAGAGACAGTGGAGAGCGCTTTGCAGCCTCTTGGGCGGATGTTGAAAGGGATTATAACAGGCTGAATAATCACAAGACAAACTACTGGAGATTGAAAAAATTTCCAGGAATTAAAAACAATCTTGTAAAGCAGCTGATGTACCTTATTCCAGAAGAGAAGTGATGCCAAGAATTTAATTTGGGCAAACGCAGTTTTTCTTCCCTCTTCCTGATTTTAAACTTTGCACCTCTATTTTAGCTTTTGTATAGGAAATTAAAGTCATTTTTCCCTTTTGTAGCTCAGCACTTAATCAGCCTGAATTATTTTTTAAAATTTTATCTGGATGGTCAAGGTGTAATTTTTCCCAGTTTTTTGCACATGCCTCTTGAATCGTCTGGAACCTGATGATTATAATTTGAATATGGAATGGTAATGAAGACAAAAATAGAGGCATGTAAGAGCTGATAACAAGGAAACCATCAAGAAAAGAAGTCAGTGGAATGTTTAATTCCATCTAGTGTGGGCAGTTTTCCCCTTAAGACATTAAAAGCATTTATACCTCAGTTCTAAGATCCAAGTTAGGATCAAAACTTCATTTATTTATTATGGGCTATTAGGCTCTGCCACTTCTTTCCAGCACCAACTCCCTCTTGATGATCCATGTGTTTGTTATCCTCAGGTTGATAACGACAGCCCAGGGAGCTCTGGGAAGAAAGAAGTACTTCTGAATGAATTCCAGCTGGTTCAGTTTCTGGCCACTTGCTGAGTAGCCTAGAACAAAATGAACCCATGGCTCTAGGCTTTTGTATTCTCTTAACTCTTCACTGAATGTGGTCTTTCACTACCCTGAGTTTTAATTCCAAGCCTGCTCTGGGTCACTTCAGAAGGAACTGCTCCATCTCACCTGTTTGTTTTCATCCTCACCACAAAACAGCAGATTTGAGAATAAGGAAGGCAAAAGCTGTAAGAGCATGAAAAAGTTTCTCTGGCAGCAAGGCCCGTGGCTTTGAAAAGCTTTACATGACAAGACTTGAGGCTTTTTATGTTTCTCTCCGAGCATGCCAAGAAGCACTCGGCATAGCTCGGTTAAAATCCGAGCCTGGAAAACAGCGAGGTGTGCTGGAAATCAGGGAAGGTTTCTGAGGCATTTGCTGACCTGAGGTATGTGGTGTTACAGCAGTGATACGGTGCTGATGCCTTACTTGAAAGAAAGAATGCTTTTCATTTACTTGCAGAAAAATTTGGGGTGTTGACTGTGCCTCTTGAAAAGTCGTCCAGTACCTGCTGGAATTTGTTCTGGTAGCAGTTACTGAAGTTAGTAGTGCTAGAAGAGGTGCTGGGTAAGTGTTATTCTTTGCAGTAGATTTCTAGCAACTGCTTGTTATGAGATTGTGGGTTATACTGAAACAGCTTAAGCCCAGTGTGCTGCTTTTCCCTGAGGTTTCTTCTTTTCATATACCCAGTAGCGTACAGGCTAAATTTCTTTTTCTATGGAATTTCTTGTACTGGAGATTCTGTGCTCAAGTGCTTCAGTAGGAATGAAGAAATGGGAATATTGTGACCGTGGTGGCCAGCAGCGTTTTATACTTTCATTTACGACTTCTAAAAACTACTCTGCCAAAATTTGTTGTTTTGTATTTTCAGTGCTTTTAAAATGGGAATTCTTTTCTCTCTTCATTTTGCTGGCAGTTAGTTACTCTCAGGATCAGCAGCATCCTGGGTCACCTAAGCAATTCCATTGCCAGCTTCCTGTTCTTGGTTCACAAGGCAGTTTTAACACCAAGCAGCCCAGAGCCAAACCTGAATCCTGAGCATTAAGGCAAAGTTCCATGTGGATTGTTTAACTATAACTCTTCTGCTGATACATTTAAGCCCTCGTGGGATGAACTAATAGTTTACATAGTTTACAACTTACACATAACACCATTCATTTTTTGAATAACAGTGTTCTTGCTTTTGAACAATCTACTTAGTACTTGAAGAAAACCAGACATTAACTTTCTGCTGTTTATTAAAATACCCCCATTGGAACCTTTTGTTCCTGTAAAGTTGATTTTGTACCTTGTTTAATTGCAGGAAGATATCAAAGAAGCCAAATACTGGTTTTGTCTGGAAAAGCAAATCTCAGTTTTAAATTGAGATTGAGAATGTGTTAAATTGCATTTTTTTTTTCTCCTTTAAAATAGTGTTTAACATTCAAATGGCCTTGTTGAAATACTGACACTACCTGTATGTGAAGGGATGTAAATACCAGCCACTCGTTGGAGATACAAAACATATGTTTTAGGTTTTAAAATGAAAAATCTGCTTCGTTTTACCTTGGAAGTTGTAGACATTTTGCTGTTTGACAGAAATTCAATGTTTCTATTGAACTGTTGCTTGGCTGTATCTGGTCAAACCCTGCCAAGATTTTCAATACCAAGGTTTCTGCTTTCACAGGTGACACGTGTTTCACAGCAGCAGATCAGACTCCTTTCTGCTTTCTGCATAACAAGCAGATATTTCGAGGCAAGACAATATATAAATAGGAGCAGAGCTGGAGATAATACTGGGTTGGAAAATACAGAAGTTGTGTGTTGTGTTCCTGACATTTCAAAACTGTTTTGCTCCACGGACAGGACCCCAGGGCTGGAGCTGCTTTAAGTGCTGTGAGTGCTCCGGCTTCCTAATAATTGCCGGTCCCTGCTAAGCACCCGCAAATGTGTTGCTTCTGGTTTTGGTCTCTTGTTCTGCACTTTCTCTCCGTTATAAAGCAGCAGAGAGCAGTCGTGCAGGTTTTCCTCACGGAATTATTAAATGAATGGCTTGTAAAAGCTCTAAGTCCATTAATTGGATGGTGTTTCGGGGCGGGGGGGGGAAGCTGCTGTTAGTACAGAAACGTAACTTGAGCCTCACAAGCTGGTTATAAAACATAGAGCTGTAGTAGTGGCCTGGGTACCCCCATGGAGAATATCTGGGAAGAAGGGGAATCTAAATTTCTGTGTTTTACAGCGAACATAATATTTATTGGAGTACATTTTTATGTACTGAATTAGTAAGCAAATGATCAGCTGCACGGGAGAGTCCTTCCAGGCTTCTTTTTGGTAATGAAAATAAGGCATCCAAGGCTTTACACATTTAACTTGGGAAAGTGGAGATCAGAGGCACGTTAAATGAAATACACCTCCCTGAAATGCTGACTGAGCACAGGAGCTCTCGTTCTCCACTACAGAAGTGTCAACTAATACTTAATTTCTGCCCAAGTAATATCTAGAGTGTTCAAGTTTTCTTTATATTTGATTGTTGATTCACTGTTGTTCATCTCACATTTTCCAGAGAAACAAATCCATACATCTGAATATTTGGACAGTGTTTCTAGAAAGGACCTTTTTGTTACTGGGACTCTGGGAGTCGGGCTGGTTTTGAGCTCAGTCCCCTGCTCTGCCTGGAACCTGCTGTGAGCAACGCTGGGATGAGTTTATGGTCCCGTTAGGTACTGACATTTCGTAGGGGGTTGAAAAAGATGCTTTGAAAACTCCCAAGTGTTAAAAGTACAAAATATTGGCCATCTTAGTAAAAGTCAGTTTGGAATCCGAGCTATGAGTGCATGTGGGTGGAGGAACGTGTTTTTCATGCTTTAGGAATTTTTTTCCAGATGCTTTCGCAGTGCTTGGGTAACTATAAAAGCAATGTATTGAGACTTCAGCATGGACTTATTCCTTAGTTTTAATGCAGTTTAAGAAAATTGAGCCACATAGTTTCCTGGTGCGTTTTTAGCTTTATTATGGTGATGATGCCGCCGAGGGCACGTTGGTGTCTGATCCAAAGTGTGAGCACAGGAATGTGCAAGCCTTGCAGAGAAGCCTGTCCTGGTAGACACCACTTGCTTGGAAATATGAATTATTCAATGCAAGTGCACGTGGTTGGAGATGCAAGAGATTGAATAAGGGAAGAATTCCAGAGCTGTGTTGATCCCAGTACCTACAACTTGTGCAGGGAAGTGTGGAGGAAATATAAAAGGCCATTTTGTATTTCCGGTAGGAATTTTGTCATTGAAATTGGTTTTGGTTAGTTCTCAGCTAAGAGGTTGTATTTGCCCTGAGAACAGGATATTATTCTGTGTGGTTTTAACGGAATATTTTAGTTCTTCACAGATATTTCTGTATCTCACTCATGTGTACAGAAGCTGATGCTGTAGCTGAAGCCTGAGCGTGTCCTTTGTTTTCAGGGAGTTGGGAGACCATTTGTGGACTCTTTGGCAAAGCAAAAACTTGACTGAATTTGGGAAATCTCTCCTTACAACATCATTATCCCACTTGGCTGTGGTTCTGACAGATGTATAGGTGGGGGTGGAGGACTGAGTTTCAAAAGCAGTGGGCATAAATGACTTTGTGTTCTGTTAACATATTTTCTGGTAAAATTGTGTGATTGATGAGGTGTTTTTGAAAATGGCTGTAAAATGGTGATAGCAATACCTGACTTACCTCTTAACTTCCAGTTCTCACAGAAAGTGGTTGTGCTGTGGACATGTTTGGGGACAGTCTGCAAAGAAAAAGCAGAAGGATATGAAGAAGGGTGACAATTCAAGGGCATCTTGATGACAGAGGAGGTGTCACCAGTTACAGTCTCACTCTTTTCCCAGCATCTCCATCTGTATTTCTTACAAGCTGAGCAGCCACTGTAAGGCCAATAATTAGCTAAAGGTGGTGAAACAGCAGTTTATGAAAGGTTTGCCCTAAAAAAATCAACATTTAAAAAAAAAAGCCCCTGGAAGTACAATTTGAGTGAGAAATAGGAACTTTATGTGGCTGGAATTTGCCCTGTGGTACATGGAAAAGATAAATCCCATGGGTAGGTCTGTAAGACTCAAGCACTCGGGGATATTTGGGGTTTATGCCTATCTAGGAAATAGGGAACTCTGTGGAGCGAATGACAAGGTTCTTGGCCTGGATTACAGGAAGGTGTAGCAAAGTCATAAGGAAATGGATGCAGTAGCTGGGATTTAATGAAAGATTTAATCTGAGAGGTAACCTTTATCTCAGGCATTTCTTATGGGTGAGCAGAGGGGGAAGAAGAGAAAGAACAGTTGGTATGAGGGATAATTGATAAGCTTATTTCCACCTCTGATTTGTGTGTCTTTCTCTGATTTTGTACATCAGCATTAATTCAGCTTCCTGTTGATCTCCCTCTTTTATCCCTGCAAAGTTCTTCAGCTGATTCCATAACTCTTAAGTGTTCCTCCAAGTTTTACATCTCAGTCAGTTCATTCTTAAACTTGCCTTACTGGTCTTGTGTTAACAGTCTCAGTTAACTGGGAATTTAATGAGTTGTTCTTCCAACAGCCCTGTGCTGGGTTTTTCAATGATTTATGTTACTGAGAGCTAAATCAGCCCTTGCCGGTGTGGACATGAAGACTTATGGTTGGTCAGTGCCCAGGAGAATGTTTCAGTTTGAGTAATTCCTAGGAATCCTGGAGATGAAACTCTTGTGTTTTGTCAACTTGGTTTTGTTTGCACTACGAGAACTGCCTCTCATTCGTGACTAGTTTCTGCTTAGGTAGGATGGAATTTTGATTCCTGGCTAAGTAGAAACTTTAATGACATGTTAATGGACTAATAAAAATGGCTCTTTCTGGGTGTGTGGTTTTTTGAAGATCTCTTCAAAGTTGTCTAGTGTTTGCAACTGGCTACACAAAGCCAAGTTCCAACCCACGAGGAGATCATGCCTTGAAAAGAGGCTTTGATTTTTACTGCAGCCTACACAAAAGGGCCACAAAAGGCTTCGTGTATCAACTCCAGCGACTCTTTGAGAACTGAGGGGTTTATAATGAAGCATTGCTTTAATCTGGTAGTCAAGGTCTGGTTTAACACGAGTTCAGGGCGAGTCTTCCAATGTCAGGGCATGAACGCGGGGCCTGACGTCAGAGGGGTCTTGGGGGCTTTTTGCTGGGCTTATGTCTCAGGTTGCAAATCTGGTTGGCACTGTGATGCTGAGATCATTAGTGAAGGCCACTCAGGGTACATGGCAGTATGAAATTAGCTCCATACAGCTAATTGGTTTATTTGGCTGTGGGTTTGTTTCTCTCCCAGCTTGCAGGCGCTGCAGCGGTTTGGGTTCGGTTACTGGGAAGTTAAAGCCGTCTGTGGATTCCTGCATTTCAGTCTCGAGCAGACGAAGAGAAAGACCAAAAGTATTCCTAAAGCAAACAAAAAAAGGACTAGAATAGAAACCTTGGCCTTTGCGGTGACGATTTAAACTGCAATTTGTGAATAAAGTGGTGGATTTCAGTCCAGTGATGTGGGAGTTGTAAAGAAACTGCACTTTTACACACTTGGTGCCTTCAGCCATCTTTCCCATAAAACCCACTTTTTTGTACCCTGCCACATATAAATGATTGTCACCCTTAAAAAAACCAGACACGTAAAACTTTCGCATTTCTCCTGCCAGGGTTGCCTGCCAGTAGAACTAAACCCAGACGTTTATCTGCAGAGAAGTCTCGTTTAAGGTTATGTGCAGGAACAGAAGGATAAGCAGAGTTGTTCTAAAGGTGGTTCAGAAGGGGTGGCTTGTGGTATTCAGAGTGTTTTCCACAAAATACCCGGAACCATTTGGATGAGACGTGATTTCACAGAACAGATTCAGCAAAGATTTTAATTGTGGCCCGTGAGCTTCGGGCCATTAGAGCAGCGTGTGGTGAATAGCTGATGTTTGCTTTTTCTCCTTTTTTTGGAGACTTTTTCCCCACTTCAGGCACATTATTTTTGCCATGCAGCCTTCCAAAAACTGTTTTTCAGAATGGTGGGATTTTTGCTGTGAGCTGGTGTCCTGCTGTTGGACAGGAGAGCTGAAGCAACTCTACCTCCAACACAGGGTAGCAACTTCATAAGTCAAAAGCTGGGCAGACTTTGAAGCATTAGCAGAGATGTTTCCATGACTTGGATGCATCAAATTTGACCTGCTTTGTGGCTTTTGTCATATTTCGGTAGTATGCAGTAACTTTAGTTTCATTTTATGTCAAGATCTTTTGTTACTTTCTCTTCCAAAGCCTCATTGTTCTTCTTTGCTTCTGTCTTCTAACCAACCAACCTGTGATGCTTGTAATGATTATTCTGCATATCTCTGTGATTAAAGATGGTCTGCAGAGAAGGAAATACTAAGTGAAGTCCTCTCTGTGTCATCAGCCTGCTGGCCTGTGTTTATCTTCTGTCAGAAAGTAAAACCAATATATCCTGGAATCTGGCTGCCTGTTTGTACAAGCATAAATTATTAACCTGGAATATCCAGGGGAAGGCCAGAGATGGCTGAAAGCTGTATTTGCCAGGATCTTTCGCTGTAACCTTCCCCCCACACCTTTCCTAAGGGAGATGTGGACGTACTGCTGGTTTGTCTTGTCTCCAGAATTAACCCGGGTACTAAATTGAAGGCCATGGTCGCTCAGATCATATCCACATGTAAAGGTCCTTCATTTGACTAAGGAGGCTTGTCCCTTTAACTTGCAAAGTGGGAATGAATGCAGGCCCAGGTGCAGATTTGCCTGCTGTTTTGCATTGGTACAGGCTGGGACCTACGGAATATTTTCATTGCTTACCTTATTTATTTTACTTTCCCCCCCCCAGGTCTCAAAACACAACTGCCTTGTTCGTACCCTGGGCAGCTGGAAACAGTTGCAGCATCTTAGCAGAGTGCTCTGGGATGGGAGTTGGACTTGGTGATCCTTATGGGTCCCTTCCAAACTGAGGCGTTCTGTGTTGTATGTGAATAAATCCAGTGCTGATGCAGAGTCAGTGATGTGAGGACTCTCTCACAGACCAGCATCCATCCTTTGAGTGCTGACAGCTCAGGAGGAGAACTTACACACCAAGGCTTTGATTTTCTAGGCTGGGTCTGTCCTCACCCAGACTGTGCCTCCTTCCTGAAAGTGCTGCTCCTGCTGCAGGGATGGTGGAGCAGCAGCTTTCTGATGCAATTCTCAGCTGGGTTGTTCAGACATTGGTGCCACTCTGGGCTCTCCTTACTACACCCGTCTTGCTCCTGCGGCACCTCCTGAACCACAGCAGATGATTCATTTCTGTTTGGAAGCGGGGTGGACAACCAGGAGCTGGCAGAGGAACCTCTCAGCTCACTCAAGTTACATCCCCAGGGTGGATACTGACTTTGTCTGAGGCTCGTCCTTTCTTCACCTCCTGCCAAATATGCTTTCACGCTAATACTTCACCCAGCTGGCTAATTTGGCCTTTGAAATTATCTCAATAATGTCAGGTACTTAAAAAAAAAACATTCCCATCCCTTTATAAATATTATAATCTGGATGTGCAGACATTGTTTCGGTGGTGTTTGGGATCTGTTGTATTAAAAGAAGGAGTTCTGCAGCGCTGTGCAGCGATCCAGAGCGGAGCATAAACAAATCCTGTGTCAGGCTCAAACAAGTCGGTTGACTTTGAGGAGGCAGAATGTAAATGCCCAAGTCAGGAGAATTAGTACCTTTTGTAACATTGCAACAAATGCAGGGAGATCGTTCCTGCTGACAAGCCCGAAACCTTTCTCGTTTAAAAGAAGGAAAAACCAAAAGAAAAAACACTTTGGAAAATGGGCAACGACGGGGTTTGGGCAAGGCCTGGGCAAAGGGCACCTGGTTTCCAGTTAAGGATCCATCCCATTCTCCTAAACCACCTCTGAACCAGGGATAAAATTAATGACTTTTTAAGCCCTTGTAGGTAGACCTACCTGAGTTCATGGATTTCAGGCTTCAAGTAGCAGCTGACAGGTCTCTCCTCTTGGAGTTGATGCGTTTAAGAAGGAAGTCTGGCACATTCCCAGCTTTGCAGAGCAGGGAGGGGCTGTCTGCTCCACTGCTGGCATGGTTTCACATCCAAGTCTCCCTTTGCTGACCCTTGTCACCCGTTTCTTTACCGGAATTTAGAAATCTATGGCTTTTAAGTGATAGAGCTCTTGAAAATATTTTTTGCTCTAGTGGGTTTAATATGCAAATAGTGGAACGGAGCCAATGGTCCATCTCAGGCAGCCTGATCCTGGAGATTGCTCCATAAAGGTTTATTTCAGCTATTAGCTGCTGTGCCAATATTTTTCTTACAAGAAAGGGTAATGATTTTTGCAACCTAAAATTGAGGGTTTCACAGGCTACGAGTGGAAAATTGGCAGCTGAGCTCATCTGCTGTAGACTGAAAGGCTGTGGCAGAGGGAAAAGAGTTAAATGAAAAATATAATTCTTCAGTAATAGCTTTAGAAATTTATGTTGCTATTTAGCTCTAGAAGGCACACCTGAAAATAGAGAATAAAGGTAATAATTACATAGACAGACCATATGCACAAAGTTACAGTTGTCATGCTTCTCCAGCTCAATAAATTATTCTTAAAATTAGGGATGGCAAATTGAAATGAGTTATTGGGCTTTAAAAATCTCACAGGAACTTTAAAATTCCTGTTGTCTGGAACTAACACACAAAAGTTCTGATTTCACCTGTACTCAGTCCCTGGTCTTTGGGTGTTTTTTCCTCTGAAGCACTCACAAAAGGAAGAGGAAGTTAAAAGGTTGGTCTGTCGTGGTTCCATAGAGCAGTGGATGGTGATTCTGTAATCCTGTTTTGTTTCCCATTGAATTGCCATAGTCCTGTAGATTTTTCTTTTTTTGTCGTTTAAAAGGAAAAATACAAGAGAAGCTTTCTCTGATTATACAGTTTGCCAGTGTAAGAAATAAGTAATTTTTAATCCATTCTAAAAATAGTTTCCTGTGCGACTGCTTTAATTATTGCTAAGACAGAGGATTTGTGTATTTTTTTTCTGTGAGCTGCTGGGTTAAATAGTGGATTTCTTTGGTCTGTTTACTTGACACGTGAGGTGAGACAGTTTTTATTCTGCTGGCTGTGTTGGGTAGGGAATGCTGAGAGGTGCAATTCTAGTAGAAGTATATAAAAATAAATAAATAAAGTATCTGTTCCTTTGCACCTTCCCTTTCCACAATATAGAATTACAGTGAGGCTGAGGGTAAATCAGGAACAGGGTAAGATGGAGATGAGAGGGAGGAATGGCTTACACAAGAGGAATTGAGTATATTCTGAGCCTTCATTCTCATCCTGAAAGGTCTCTTTTCCTCACTGGAGGAAGGAGATTCCCTCAGAAGTAATTAGGTCTTTTATGGTTACCTTCCTCTCTTGGATCCTAGTTTGAGATAAGTTAAAGCTCTAATGTTTTCGTCTTTGGCTCTGGAGTTGTTTTTAATTTATGCCAAACAACTGGGATTGCTGAGATCGTACTGAGCAGTCCTTATGGAAAAGCAAAATTAGCCTCGTAGCTGGTAATAGACCTGGTAGAAATGGAGATTGATGTGAGTTTCCTCATCTAATTTTTTCTTAAACTACTGTGCTGGTGAGTAGAACTGGAGAGAGGGAATCAGTGTCTCATTTGTGGCTCTTTGTAAGGAAAACTTCTCGATGCAGATTTTTCTTCCAGGATGTTTATTTTTCTCCTGTCATACTTACCCCCAAACCTTGCTGTGTTTACAGATTGCTTTTGCTGTTGTAGGATTCCTCCCATGTCTTGTTTCACCATGTGTCCTGTCCCTTTTGTGTGCAAGGAGCAGGAGGTTGCACTGAATTTGAGCATAGAGGTCTCTTCCAGGAATCCCAGAACTTGGGAATTCAATTTTCTTAGTTCATAAACTGTGTAATCCTTGTTCTAAACTGGGTGGATTCTGAAACAACAACAAAAATCTGGTTTAGCATTTATGTAAGCATAAAGTATAGAAAATTAGGAGGTTTCAATGCAAAAGGACATTCATTAAATCTTCTGTGTGTTGTAACAATAGAACTACAGCAGCAAAGGAATTTTTATGTAAATCCATATTCCAATCACAGATAAAGAAAACAATGCTCACATTTAATATTTAGGTGGTTTTTATGAATTATGATCAGGTATTATTTTAACTGATGTGATTACCAGAAAGCTTTGTTTTATGGTCTTAAGATTTCTTTATCTGCTGTTTTGTTTTGCAGTATTATGTGCCAAGAATCTTGCAAAGAAAGATTTCTTCAGTAAGTATGTCCTAATTGTGTAACTTTCTGCTCTGGATTAATCAGATTTGTTTGTAGATGGTGCATTACTGTGGTGGCTCCTCTGTGTGTGTCATTTGCTCTGTGGTTCCCCTCTTGCAGGAGCACTGCATTACTACAGGAGTACATGTTACTCTGAGTTGTAGGTTGTGTAGAATTTAGGGGTGAAAAGGCTGAGGGCTCCCAAATTCCAGTTGAAGGTCTGGCTGATGATACCACAGTCAGTCTGCTGCTCACAGCTCTGTGTTGGGGGGTACCAGTAGCATCCATCTCAAAGACAGGATTAACTCAAATAGTTTTAGGATAATGGCAACTTGCCTTTCTTGGAGGGGGGAGCAGAAGCTCATGCTGGCATTATCTTAGAAGAACCAAAACAAAGGGCTGTGTTTAATAGCACCTTTTCCCTTCCACAGGACTTCCTGACCCATTTGCAAAAATAGTTGTGGATGGGTCAGGTCAGTGCCATTCCACTGACACTGTGAAGAACACGTTGGACCCCAAATGGAACCAGCATTATGATCTGTGAGTTGGTTGTAAGGTCATAAGTAAACAATATGCCAGAGGTTTATCTGGAAGGCAAGGGTTGGCACTGCAACTTTATTTCGTGTTAGCAACAGTTGTTCACATTTCATAGAAACACAGAATGGTTTGATTGGAAGGGACCTTAAAGCTCATCCAGTCCCACGCCCTGCCACGGGCAGGGACACCTTCCATTATCCCAGATTGCTCCAAGCCCCATCCAGCCTGGCCTTGGACACTTCCAGGGATGGGGCAGCCACAGCTACTCTGGGCAACTTGTGCCTTACCACCCTCACAGGGAAGAATTTCTTCTTAATATCCCATCTCAGATGGGATATCTTAATATCCTGCCCTCTCAGAGTACTGATTTTTTTCAGCAAAAAAATCACCTGTTAATAAAGGATTGGTACTTTGCTTTTTGGTGTTTCAGTCCAGAAATATTTGCATGTCAGGTACACAGCACAAGTGCTTGGAGTGAGCTCTGCTGGAGCAGTGCCATCCAGCTTTTACAGGAGACTGTCCTTGTTGTAACGATTTATTTCCTTCAAGTTATTAGAACCATAAATTCTAAAGTTTTGTCTGTTAATTGACTTGTTGTTTAGCTTTTAATGAGGCTGGCTGTAGTTAAATTCATGCTGCAGCAATATCAATTTCCCATGCTGTGTGAAATCATTGTGCAGTAATTCATTAATAACAGCATTTCGGGCATAAGCACTTGTGTATTTGTAATAAAGAGGCATGACTGATGTACTAAAATGTGTCAGAATTTGTACCAATTACAGCATCGATTCTGTGGAGTAAAAAGAGCTTGTTATTTCTAAAATTACTCTTTTAATATGTGTTTTTCTAGATATGTCGGGAAAACAGATTCCATAACCATCAGTGTATGGAACCATAAAAAAATCCATAAGAAACAGGGAGCTGGCTTCCTGGGGTGTGTCCGACTCCTCTCCAATGCCATCAGCAGGCTAAAAGATACTGGATGTAAGAGCAATTCCTGCCTGGGGTGATCAAGAACCCTCCGTGCCTTGTACCTGAGTAGTGAATAGTGTTCCCACCCCCCCTTCCCAGGGCTGAGCTTTCCCATTCTCCTTTGCAGACCAGCGTTTGGATCTATGCAAACTCAACCCCACGGACACCGATGCTGTCCGAGGCCAAATAGTGGGTAAGAATGGTCTCAGCTACATTTCACCTGCTTGGCAAATCCCCACAGGGACAAAGGTTGTGTTGAAAAAGAAACCTCTTCTTCTGATTTTAATGGGATTAAGTTACATAACCTGGAAGTTTTCCTTGTGCTCCCGTGCAGGAGTTTGTTTCCTCTCAGTTGATGATGGGAAACTGTTAAAAAGAGGGAATGCGTCTGGCAAGGCTTCTGCAGCAGCTCTGGGAGGGTGAATGCCACTGTGAAACTCAAGCATTTGGCCAAGGTGACAGGCAGAGGGAACCTTAGGTGGAAAAAAGGAACTGGAGGAGCTAAGAGAAATTTTATAAATTTCTGGTTTATTACCTTTGACTGATGTAACCCATTTCCAAATTTCAGCAAGGCAGTGCTAGTTTTACAGCTAATTCACCCCACCTTTGCTGCCCCCACCCAAGCCAAGTGTCTCAGTGATATATAAATGCATTTGGCAAACCCCAAATTCTCACCCTAATGATGACATCTAGTGGTGAACAATTTTTTTCCAGCTTCCCTTTCTGGATCCTCATGAAACCCAGATGTAGAACCTGACATGTTTGATATTTACAGAAATAAACTCAAGTTTTGAGGGGATGAGCTTCTGGTTTCTCTTCTCCTTTTTAAAAAAATCAGTAATACTTTAAGATTATAGAAGGAGTTCTGGTAAGTGAAGTGCTGTCCTGTGTAGGATAGAGCTTTCCTTAATATTTTCCCCTGTAAAAATGTGGATTTTTTAGCTTTTTGTTGTTTGTAAGGAAGCAGTTGCTCTTTTATTAACCTGAGTTTGTGGTTTTTTATTTCAGTCAGTTTACAGACACGGGACAGAATAGGCACAGGAGGTTCTGTAGTAGACTGCAGAGGGCTTTTGGAGAATGAAGGGTAAGGATTGTTTTCTTTGCACTTAATTATAAAAATGGTTTATGTGTGGAAAGGCTGTAATTAACATGAGAAATATTAAATATCAGTGTGACTAATATATTGCCTGGGAATATGTATCCACTATCTACTATCAATTATCCAGAAAGTAAGGATAATTACTTGAAGAAAATAAGCTTAACTGCTTATGGGTAAGACTTGTGGTTTTTTGTTACCGGTGCTTGTGGCACTTCCCTGAGAAATTTGGGTATTAAAACATTAGGAAAACGGCATAAATTGGGTTAAAAGCCGCAGCGCTTGACGTAAGGGAGAGAGAGAGAAACAGTCATTTCTGCATTCACTTCTCTTGTGATGGAAACTCTTGAAGTTTCCCCATTTTCAGAACGGTTTATGAAGATTCCGGGCCGGGAAGGCCGCTGAGCTGTTTCATGGA